TTCTGCTGTTCCCTTTAGTGTTTACTTCCTGTCCGTCTGTCTTCTTCTGCTGTTCCCTTTAGTGTTTACTTCCTGTCCGTCTTCTTCTACTGTTCCCTTTAGTGTTTACTTCCTGTCTGTCTTCTTCTCAATCCCTCCTCAATGCGTTTTCAGTGCATTACATAAACATGTTTTCATGTTTTTCATATTATTGCAACTTGAACACCTGTAACACACTTTGAAGCAGTTTGAACACGGCCACACTGAATTGGAAAAGCTTCGTAACAACACAGAAGAAACCGGGGTAGATTTTGTATAAGATGGGCTTGAAGCTCACCTAGCAATGTGCAAAGTTTGCAGTCTCTACATCCTGATATTTACACAGGTGTTTAATGATTGTACAGTCATTATGACAATCAGGCATTTATACAGGTGTGCAGTGTTACAGAAGATTGCTTTTATATTTGGATGTGATCTTTTTTTAGCTTATGGCTAACGGGGAACTTTTAAATAAACCCTCACACAGATGGTAAGCATTAGCCGCTACCAACCACAATTACACCTATTGTGCTCAGTGGCTCCAGGGAAATTAGCGGAGGGGAGGGGGGCTAACAACGCGGGTTAGCTTTAACTCGTTCTCAGGTTACAATTATAGGATTAAGAGTGAAGCTGCCATTGAAGAAACCTCTGATTGTTCTCTGCTTGGCATCGATAAAGTACTCCCAAGTTAACAGCTTTTCAGGAGTGAAAGTGTTTGAAAGGTAAAATATCCAGGGGATCACAGTTTAAAAGGCGCTATCCTAGTCATTTTCTGCAGCACCTCTTTTCAATCTCTGTCTGAAACCAGAGCCCAGTCTGCTCTGATTGGTTAGCTGGTCGGCTCTGTTGTGATTGGTCAACAGCTTAGAGATGTCCCGCCCCTTAACCTCTTATCCCGTACAAGGTGTTGGAGCGCTAGCCAATAGAAGTGTGAGTGTTCCAAAGGGATTTCACTATAGAATAGAATATATCTTTATCGTCATCATCATACCAAGTACAACACCATTTCTTTGGCAACTCTCACTGCAGTAAAAAATAGGCACAAATAAATAGATAAATAAGAGTGGTAAAAGCAGAAGTCGTAGCAATGACAGTCCAACGAGATACAATTAAATGTCAATGTGCATATTTACACTTACAGTCTAAAAACGTTAAATATATAAATGTACTGTATTTCTAACTGAGTGTTCATAAACGGTTATAGTAACCAAATGATGCAAGTGAAATAGCCATCAATATTTCTAAATAGTAGTGGTTGCAGTCTATGTCCCAGAACTTAGGGAATTTTGCCTTTTGCAGACCATTTACATGCACTAAAACGTATAGAACACACGACAGGAAAGGGATTGAAACCCCCGAATATGGCATCTTTAATTATGCCTTATACCACATGTCGGATCAACATAGCGTAAGGTATCACTCGTCCATGGCAGGTGAGGTAGTTTGTTAGGTGGTGTAAAGTTCCCCTCTGTGGTCTCAGTCTTTATTTCCCGGGCAGATGGCGAGGCCTCATGCTTTATTCATCCTCCACCAGACGGCTCTCGTCTTTTGTCTGCAGTCTCTCTATCCGTCCTCACTGACTCACCTGTTCTAGGATCTCTAACCACACAGCGCGCAGCCACTGGTCAATATTTGAAAGCTTCATTCACTACTTATGTTCAGGACACTCACTCACGCTAGCTCTCTTTACCCATGGTGAAGTTGTGGTAGAATAAGATACCTCCCTTTTGTGGTGGGGCCAATGTACCAACACAACCAGAGAATGAAAGGAAAGAGATTTACGAGTACGTCATATACAGATCACAATTTACTCCAAAATACTTATTTCCCACAGTTGAATGCAAATCAATTTGTCCATTTCTCGATTTTCTTTTTGATATTCTTACTCAGTTCAAATAAACCTACCATTAAAATGATAGACTGTTCATTTCTTTGTAAGTAGGCAAACTTACCAAATCTGCAAGGGATCAAATACTTATCTCCTCCACTAAGTGCATATACAGATCATAATTTACTCCAACCCTATATTATCATTCATAAGAATTAACCAAAAACCATTAACTTCTGTTTTTGTTTTATTCTAGAAATACATATGGTCGGTAACCCTACATGAGATTGATTTATATTTTGATGTCAGGTTTATTAGCTCATGGCTAATGGTGGACTTTTAAATAAATCCTCACACAGATGGTAAGCATTAAGGCCCTGACTCACCAAACTGACACCAAAGACACCCGACTGACCCGATTGTTGTCGCCTCACGTCTCCTGCGTCTCGGCCAAAAAGTCGCACTGGAACACACCGCAAAGACTTCAGCCGACGGCCAAGTAGCACGTACGCACTGCGCATGCGTGAGTGGCAATAACTCTCCTTACCAGCAGGTGGCGGTGGTGTGTATTCTTCATTCAAAAGAGGATTCTCATGCACTGATTCGCTAAGCTGAACAGCCAATCAGAGTGATTTCTTTGGCCGACAGCCTCCAACATGTTGATTCGGCGGCGGAAGGTGTCGGCAAGGCCGAAAAGACACGACGGTGCAGGACACAACAATCTGAGTAGGGCGACAGGACGCTCATCGACGGCCAGACATCTATCGACGGCCGAAATGGGCTCGGTGTGTCCGGGCCTTTAGACGCTAAAAAACACAATTACACCTCGAGTCCTCAGTGGCTTAAGGCACATTTGCGGAGGGTTAGTTTTAACTCGTTCTCAGGTTACAATTATAGGATTAACACTGAAGCTGCCACTGTTTTATTCTAGAAATACATATTGTTGGTAACTAGGGGTGCAACAACTAATCGACTTAATCAATTAAAATCGATGACCAAATTAGTTGCCAACTAATTCAGTCGTCGATTCGTTGGTGACGTCATCACGTGTGTTTTACGCGCCGTTAAGCTCCAACGTTATCGGTCTTTTTATCGGTACTGGAGACATTTAAAAAATATGTCATATATATTATTGCTACAAAAACATTATATCGCAGTCTGAGTGTCGCCAACTCGTTTCTAACATGCAAAAAGACAAACAAATGCGTCTATGGTGTATTTTCGATCTTTCCAATCCAGACGAGATCTCTCTCCCGTCTGTGTGCGAGGGGGCGGGGCGGTTCACACACACGCAGCTAAATGCAGCAACACACTGCGGGGATGGCGGAGAGAACGCGCTCCGAGGTGGTTAAACTTTACCCGTCTCGATGTGGACAATCCTCGTTGCCAAAAGTGCAATAAGAGTTTAGCATGTGAGGGCGGTAACACGAGCAATGTGTCTAAACATTTAGCAAAAGTGCACCGCATGCAGACGGAGGAATGTACCGGGTTCCACCGTCTCTCTAGCAGCTCTGTAGCTCCGTCCACGAGCAACGTTTCCACGTCAGGTGTTCTGTATGCTAGCAGCAACACACGGAGTTAACTCCATTATACAAACATGGGTTAATGATTAGAGGAAACTGAGTTATTTAATTTGTTAAAGTTTCAGCTATTCTGTTTACAGTTCTGTCATCAGATTATTTAATACGATTTGTTAAAACATTTCTTTTGATGTGAAATATTATTTATTTCATTTAAATAAAAAGCAATGTTAATTCTGTTCACAATTTAAGTTAATTTAATAATATGTATTTTTGAATCAAGTATTCATCTTTATTGTCTTGTTAGTTTCCACATGCCTAAAACAGCCTCCAGCTCCATCTAAAGGTTGAGGGCTCAATCAGAGCGTTTGAGTAATTGTGCAAGGCATCCAGTAACAGTCGATTAATCGTTTCATTAATCGATTATCAAATGAGTCGTTTGTTGCATTGCAGCCCTGTTGGTAACCCTACATGAGATTGATTTTATAATTTGATGTCAGGTTTTTTAGCTCATGGCTAATCTGATCAATATTAGAATCAGTGGTTGACATCAAGTTATATCATCTGTTAGTAAGATATTCCTAAACTTTCATTTGATGAGAAATAACACTATGGAGTTTTCCATTTACTTTAAGAGTGTCTAGACTAGATTGTGATGTTCCAATATCTGCACCAAATACAAGGTCCTTCCTGTCGGTCTTAAATAGACTAAGCCATGCCTTTTGTTTTGTAGACATGAGTGGAGTTGTCCATTGTGCTCCAGTCTGTTGTTGGTTTGTTGCCGGGCGATTTCCCTTAACTCGTAAAGTTGGGACATATCACACGGCCGCGTCGACTTTACGAGGCATTTGGATTTGGAGTAGTTACAAGTGTGCAGGGCTTCAAAATGACGCTCTCACCCAATCAGCACGCCTTCAGCTAAACCTGTGTTTACTAAAAATGAATGGATGTGCTTAACAAGACAAACGCCAACCAAGAGCAAAACATGTCTGTCCTCTTTAAAACCTTTTCATTTTGATCCACAGCTGCGTTAACTTCAAAATGCAACAGAAATCTTCTGTAATGATCCTGCATCTTTTCCAGCCATACACATTGCAGTTAAACCTGAAATTGTTAAGTCTTGTTTCTTTATTAAGCCGCTGTAATCTGTATATAAACCGGATTATAGCGCAACAGGTGAAGGGGGGAATTATAACTAATTGCAGTTCTGTTTAACAATAGCAAACCTTTATTTCTACCCCGACTACTGTGGAGTCCTTCTGGATGAAATGACAACTGTTGCATAAGATTTTGTATTCCACCTTTATGAGAATGAAACCTCGATAGACGCGTTTCAAACCTGATGTCTTCATGTCTTTGAATCCTCTCTGGGCATCAAGCCTCTGAGACTGTTCCACTAAGTGTCCTTGAACGTCAGCTGTGTCTGTTTATTTGTTTTCATGCTCACTGTGTGTGTGTGTGTGTGTGTGTGTGTGTGTGTGTGTGTGTGTGTGTGTGGTGTGTGTGTGTGGTGTGTGTGTGTGTGTGTGTGTGTGTGTGTGTGTGTGTGGTGTGTGTGTGTGTGTTGTGTGTGTGTGTGTGTGTGTGTGTGTGTGTGTGGTGTGTGTGTGTGTGTGTGTGTGTGTTGTCAACAGTTCTTCAGAAGGGAACAGGGAGACTTCTTCATTGGCTGCTTGTTTCTAACGGAGCTCAGCACACCCTTCGTCTCCATGGGAAAGATACTGATCCAGGTGAGAAAACACACACACCAGATGCATGCTGGGAAGTCACACACCTGTCATCAGAACACTTTGTTCATCACGAATATAGATACATTTTTACATATTTTATAAACGGAAAGTAAAATGTCTGTTAAAAGAATAATACAAATATTTATATAAACACAGGAATGTTATTGATACATTTTTATTTCGAACAAGTAAAATAAATAATTACAAAAACAAATGTTGCAGTGCATTTACAACAACAACAACAACATTAGCAACATAAACAGTGCCACATCTAGTGTTCGAAAAGGAGTGAGAAGAAGTACAATTTATTTGATCTCACCCCCTTGTCCCTAAATGATTTATTTATAATCTGCAATAATTATCATTTGTCTGCATCATTGATAGACCTGTTGATTGACATAATGTTAGTGTGTTTTTGTTCTCTTAACAGGGTTTTATTTCACAAAACTGCCTCAGGGCTTCTTAACATTTACTAAACTATGAATGTGTCATACTCACTTAACGGGAAGAAACTAAGCTAACTGACAATATGAACCATTTTTACTGAAACAAAACACAAGTCTCACAAGAAGCGTCGAAATGAGCCCTGAGCGGAAAACTGCTAACGCACTTTTAGCACAGACGGACACAATAATTTAAAAAAATTGACTATGTTCAATCGGAATTTACCTTAAAAGAAAAAATATCTATATTGATTCTGACTCTCCTACATCCAACTCACAGGTTTATCATTGCTTTGAGAGCAAAGATTATTCATGTACCCCTTTTTAGAAGTGAAGATATGGTCATTTGTTCTGGGCATGCCATTTTCGAGCCTGAGAGCTGGAAAACAGGCTCTGGGCTTAACAGGTTGACGTCATCTGCTAAATGTCTCAGGTCACACTAACTTAATATCTAGAGAAGTAACTAGTCAATATTTCCCAGACCAAGGATCACAACGGAGCTTATTGTTAGAAAATGGCAGAAACACAAGAGGACATTCGGCATTAATCACAACAGTTACAGCAAATAATGAAAGTAAATCCATTGTACAGAGTGCAGAGTGCAGAGCTGCTGAGCTGTGCAGGAATGTGGAGCTTCGGTGCAAATCAAGCGGCTTTATTGCACATGGAACAAAGGGCAACTCAAACCCATTGCTCTTTACCCCGGGGGGGGGGCAGAAATCAAAAGCTGCGTTTGTCTTATAAGACTAATATAAAAAAGTAGTCAAATTTTGATAAAATATCGGACAAAAAAAGTGAGGATTTATCTAAAAAGTCAGGAATTTGGAAAACGTAAGATTCTTTGAAAAAATAGTCAAAATAGAATTTTTAAAAAAGTCAAAATGTTTTCACAAATTGATTTTTGTTAAAATAGTTCAAAATGTGATAATAAATAATATTTTAGAAAAACAAACAGGATTCTGCTCTAAATCCCCCCTTTTTTTTAATAAAGTAATCTGATTACCAACCTATCCTAGAGTCGGTGGGGGCCCTAGGCAAACATTCACTGGGGGCCCTCGAGCCAGCTTTTCATCACCACGCACAGCCGACAGCAGAATTTAGAAAATACATTAAAATTACAAAAAAGTAGCATTTCAATCATGAAAGTTGAGAAAAACTTAAAAAGAAAAAATAGTCTGGATTTTAACATGATTAGGGCCACAAGAAATACAAATTAAGATCTCATAAATCAGATGCAGGCAGTAGGCGTATCGATTAACCCCTAAAGTATTGTCCTACAGAACAGCTGACAGAGAAGAGAGAACAGCTGATCCTTTACAACAAACACTACATCATCTTTTTAGGTTTAAGTGAAATCCTTCTAGATATCCACCTTTTTTAGAAATGTAATCTGATTACCCATTAACAGCAGTAATGCCTTCATTAGCTTCAGCCACATTACTTCCTGTCGGTGCGTTTCAGTAAAGCCTTCCTCTAAGAATAGACTCGATGGCTTCCAGGTCTCTGCTGACATCTGGTGTGGGCAGAGCAAGGCGAAGCGTAGCTGCTCGTCTCCCTCCTTCGGCCTGAGTCAGCACTAACGGACAGTTTTACTGCTGACTCCTATCGATCTCAGTGTGGAGCAGCCATGGCTCCTGCATCATATAACAGGAGAACAGCACATTTGTTTTGGTCTGTTTGGCATGACAGAATAGTAAAGAAACAACAACAAAAAGGCACAGAAATAAAAATCTCATAACTGAGAGAAAATATCTTTTAGGTTTTTATTTAAAAAAAGGAGTTTTATGAACTAATCCAACATATTTTACAACACCATCAGACTGTATTTTGTCTCAGCTTTAGCTAATGACGGTGAGCATGCTAGAAATCATATAGTGGTGCAGAAACCCAGGGATGAGTCAGCATTTGACCACTTCCTCTCCTCTCAAGGGAACACTAGCCATGCTAACTTGTGGCCTACTCAAATACACAAGATAAGATATACGTTTATTCATCCCTGTTTGGGGAATTCCTTTGTCCCAGCAGCCCGCAGACAAGCATAGATGAGAGTAACAAATGACGGCTCCGCCCACTTTTGGGGGAAAACAAAGCTTTTGATTGGCGGTTAATTCAAATTCTGAAGTTTTTGCCAATCCGATTAGAAATGTAAGAAAACCGTGGATCTTCAAAGAGCCCGATCACGATGGCCAGTCAGGCAAACAATTACATTAAGTCATTGGAAATCGACGATCGGGCTCGATGTATGGTTAAATAAAGCAGTAGGCGATCGATGTCCACAGATGAACATCTACGTGACTTTACGGCCCCGCCCACTTTTGGGGGAAACAACGCTGTCATTTGAACGGCGATCGAGCCTGAAGCCACAGAGCTCTTCTGTTACTGTCCTTTGTTCTGAGAGGAAGTTCAGAAACACGTAACTCTGGATTTGTTTTAATGTTTGAGGAGCAATAAACGACACAGCAGCTTTTTGTCATGTTAAAACTATTATGTTCCGCCTCGCTCATGAGAGTAACAGCTGGAGAAATTACTATTTGAAGATCCACAAATCCACGGTTTCTTACATTTCTGATCGGATTGGCAAAAACTTCAGAATGTGTATCGACCGCCGTTCAAATGACAGCGTTGTTTCCCCCAAAAAGTGGGCGGGGCCGTAATTTTCCTGCCCGGAAGTGACGTAGGTGGTTGCTCTCATCTATTGCACACGAATACAAAATGACATAAACAGCAAATATTGATGTATAAACGTCACAAAATAAACGGAACAGAACAATAATATCAACCGTGAGAGAATACATACCTAGTGTCTCTCTTTGAATACATCATCTCTGTGCTGAGCGGGAGTTCGCTTCGACCTACACCTGTTTAGATCAGTAGAAGAAGAAGAAGGATCCTGTCTAACTTTCTTTTTAAATTCCCCTCTCTCCTCCTCTGTGTCTCCTCTCTCTCTTGTCTCCTCCTCTGTGTCTCCTCTCTCTCTTGTCTCCTCCTCTCTGTCTCCCCCCGTCTGGTCTCCTCTCTCTTGTCTGCTCCTCTGTGTCTCCTCCTCTCTTGTCTCCCCCCGTCTGGTCTCCTCTCTCTTGTCTCCTCCTCTCTGTCTCCTCCTCTCTGTCTCTCTGTCTCCTCTCTGTCTCCTCCTCTCGGTCTCCTCCTCTCTGTCTCCCCCCGTCTGGTCCTCTCTCTCTCTTGTCTCCTCTCTCTCTTGTCTCCTCCTCTGTGTCTCCTCCTCTCTTGTCTCCTCTCTCTCTTGTCTCCTCCTCTGTGTCTCCTCTCTCTACTGTCTCTCCTCTCTGTCTCCTCTCTCTCTTGTCTCCTCCTCTGTGTCTCACTACTCTTGTCTCCTCCTCTCTCGTCTCCTGTCTCTCTGTCTCCTCCTGTCTGGTATCCTCCTCTCTTGTCTCCTCTCTCTCCATCTCCTCCTCTCTTGTCTCTTCTTCCCCCTGTCTGGTCTCCTCCTCTCTTGTCTCCTCCTCTCTCGTCTCCTCTCTCTTGTCTCTTCCTCTCTTGTCTCCTCCTCTGTGTCTCCTCCTCTTGTCTCCTCCTCTCTTGTCTCCTCTCTCTCTTGTCTCCTCCTCTCTCGTCTCCTCTCTCTGTCTCTTCCTGTCTGGTCTCCTCCTCTCTTGTCTCCTCTCTTTCCATCTCCTCCTCTCTGTCTCTTCTCCCCCTGTCTGGTCTCCTCTCTTGTCTCCTCCTCTCTCGTCTCCTCTCTCTCTTGTCTCTTCCTCTCTTGTCTCCTCCTCTGTGTCTCCTCCTCTTGTCTCCTCCTCTCTTGTCTCCTCTCTCTCTTGTCTCCTCCTCTCTCGTCTCGTCTCCTCTCTCTCTGTCTCCTCCTCTCCATCTCCTCCTCTCTTGTCTCCTCCTCTCTCGTCTCCTCCAGCTGGGCCTCCAGGACTGCTGGGCTGCACAAGGCAAATGGCGGCATGGTTCTCCTGACCTTCTTCATGTGCCGCATACGCCCTCTTCCCCTACATGTACTGGGTGTACGGGCGCCACTACGACTCCCTCTCTACAGCGTTCCCTTCCACCTGCCGCTGCTCACCTAACCTGAGGGCACGCGTGCATTCTGGCGCCGCAGGTCTACTGGTTCGTGTGCTATGCAGTGAAAGGATATTGTCTTTATCGACGCAGCCGCATGACGGAAGTTCAACCGGACGTTCAACCCCTCGCGGACAATCCCAAGGCTGATTGATATCCGTTTTCACGATTTTTTTCTTTGCTCGCTCAAAGCCGCACACTTCAGCTACTAACGCTACTTCGACTACTTCTGCAAAAAGGCACTAGTTTTGACTTTTAACACATTTCGACATTTCCCCTCCACCATCGTACTGTAGTACACAGGACTGCCTGCTCTTTTGTCCCACAACTCCTGGGCATCTTTCCGCACACTTTAAAAGAAAAAAATAATATCCTGTGTTACAAAAATATCGTCTGCCTGAAGTGGATCTCTCTCTCTCTCCGTCGATCCAGCTCTACTACTGATGATTTTTCTTCTTTGGATCTTACTGCGTCCGTCTACATTTTACAACACTGGAGAGATGTCATGTTCTGCTTCACCTGAGAGTAAAAAGAAAGTGGGAGGAGCTTCCACTGGAGAGACGTTTCCTGACCTCTCACTGCTACTGTGTCTCTTCTGACCGGCCTGTTACAGAGTGTGAGAGACAGGTTGTATTTTATTTTAAAGATTTCTGTTTCCTCTCCCCCCATCCGATATTCAATAATCACACCAGGAAGGATTAGGAATCGAGGGTGGGCGGTTGGATTTATTGTGAGGAATACATTTCACTTTGTTAACCTGTTAATGTGACTCTTCACCATGTGTGTAGCTTCCCATCCCGCATGTTCTCCATCCGTTTGTAAATCTGCAAATCCCATTTTCACTCCCACACTTGTACAACCCCGGCTAATTAGTTCTCGCTCTGTATGCATGGTGAACCCCCCCTCCCCTCCCTTATTTAAAAACTGCTCTCATGTAATTGGGAATACTTTAATTTTAAGAAAGCTTTTGGGACCACTCCTACGTTGGAGTTGGAGTGGGAGTTTGTGGCACTGATATTGATAAGAGATTACCTCAGTTGTAGAAAAACGTCTTCATTTTCAGTGTTTTGACTTGTATGCATGGCAGCTAAAGTCCATGCTAGCTTTTTAGTTTGAATGGCTGTGAAATTCACTTGAAAAAGAAATACACACTCTCAGTGTCTAAGTACTGTTGGGAAGCCATGATGGGATAAGATGCAGCCCGGTATGGAAACATAAACCCATTGTGAGACATCTCGGTCGATTTAAGAAGTGGGAAACAGTACGAAATGTTCTGTTTTTGGACAAACTGAAACCCCAATACAAGCTTTTAAATGTCCTCTTGGTCTTTACATGATATGATAATACTACTACATTTCTTTTTTGCATCACAGCTCATGTTATTGTGAAGTACATGCTAGCTTTTCATTTTGTGTTTCTGCTAAATGTATGAAGTACTGTATGAGTCTAACAGTGTCTAAATGATATCGTGAAGCCATGATGGGATAAAATGACAGTGTATGAGGAAATATTAAGGTCTTCTCTACTAAAGAAACCCTTAATCGATAAAACTCAAAGGGTTTTACTTTACTAATTGATGTAACGGTCATGATCTGTAAGACATCTTAGTCGATTAAGAACGACTGAAACCTGCAAAATGTTATGTTTTCGGATGCAAGCATTTCGATTTCTTCTTGGTCTTTTCTACGATACAATTATCAATTTGTTGGCATCACAGCAGCTCCGTTAAGTTCACATATTTACCACGAGAAACAGACCTCTGAGAGAACATTAAAATATATCATCTGCATGACTCCTCGGTGCAGAGGGCGAGTTCTTGCTACTGAGAGATGCCTCGTGGATCTCTGTTTGATGACACTGGAGAATCTGCGGCTGCATTGCTGGCAGTGAACGTTGAAGTCGAGACGCCGCAGTGTTCGAGGGTCACTCGGGGTCAAATGTTTGTCAGGAGGAGGAGGGAGGAGGGGGGGGGGTGAACTCACGGCGGGTGTCAGAGCAATAAGGTGAGCTTAGGTTACAAAAAGTGAAGGATATCAGGAGATATTCTTCCTGTAGCGTCAGTTGTTGGATGTTGTGCTGAAGTTGCTCTCACTCGTCATGCTCACATTTAAATATAGAGTGACTTCACCTGAGAGGAGTTTTGTTTTGTTTTAGTTGCATTAAGACTTCATCATACTTCTTCCTCATATCATTTCCTCATATCAACGATTTCATAAGACAAATTGTTACAAACCGTACATTTATGGCATTTGTTTGTTTTAAATGTCCTGCAAATTCAATCTATGCAAGAAGAGGCATGTATTCAGACACTAACGTCATGTCAGCCTCACTTTGTTTATTTGGGGACCAAAGCATCTCCGTTCTCCACACTACATATCGTTGTCTTTTTTTAACATGTACCTCAGTTGTGTTCTCATAAACTCATTTACTGCTGAAAGAATAAATGCATATTGATCATTTAAGTAAGGATTGTTGTAGCATACACAAAGACATGTTTACAGCTGCAGCTCAGTTGACCTTTTCCAACTAATATGAAAATCACTTTTATAATAACTACTAAAAGTTTTGTTGTTATATAAAAACACAAATGCATTTCTTTAAAGGCAGCAACGGATCTAACTTGCGCCTCATTGTTTGGTTTCAAATCCAAAATGTTCCTCGGATAGTTTTGTGTCATGATGTTCCCACTTTGCATTAAAGCGAAAATATGTGACTTTTGCTCATCGTTGTGAAGGTTTACTGTCGTTAAGACGACATGTTTAAATAAGCTAACAGAAAGCAGCTATAAGAGCAAATGCAGTCAATGTGTTTAATCAAATTCAACGTTTCAATTGTTTCTGCTTCTATGAATGACACGGTTTTGCTTTCATTACAGAGATGAACCCCATTGGTTTACAAAGCATGGCGTGTTGGGTGTTCTTTAATAAGGCTTACCTGAAGATTCATTTCTAAATTAATACAACTTTGGGAATATACAATTGTTCAAAAATCTAGTTTCCTAAATGTCCAAGGGCTGTTGTAGTTAACATAAATACAGATAAGGTTAATTGTGGATATGTTAAATATGTATACATTTCAACACTGCTTATCAAATCTGAACACTGTTGCATTATGGGTACTGTAGTGCTGCAGATTCATTTGTTAGAAAGCAGTGATGAGTGTTCCTGTTGGCTGACGAGCTGCAGGAGGGTGAGGACGCTTCAGCACCCAAAAACACATTTCATTTACATTTTGAGAATTCTATATTCATCAATTTGTCTAGGAATAGGGAAACATCTCAACATCAACTACATATCCTCTTAGACTTTGAATATTGTGATATCTTGTCATGGTTTAGAGGCTGCATTAAAGTACATGAGGGAGTTTAACACACTATTCTAGCTCTGCTTTCTCACAATTCGTCAATAACCGTGAAGCATGCACGTGGTTTTTGTCGAGTCATCTCACGCTAGCCTTGATGCTAAACATGTGGCCAAACTGTAGCCATCTTGCTTACAATATCTTGAGTAATAATCTAAGCGGTGGCTGGGTATGCCGACACTTTTATCTTTCGAGTGCTAGCAGGAACAAAGCTAACTCTTAATATAGTGGATTGACCCAAAGCTAACGCCTCGTCACACACACAACAGTAGGACACTCCTCTAGCATGGATGCTACATCTGTTAGCTTTCATTACGTTCCATGAAGTCAATGGTTTCAATTTCTAAAGTGTAAGCATGTCACAAATATCTCCTTTCCCACTCAATTCAACCAAGATGTAAAAGCTGCAGATCATCCTACTCTTCTGCCTCCTCCTCTTCTTCTTCCTCCTCCTCCTCCTCTTCCTCTCTGCTGCCATCTGTCGTCAGGATAACCTTTCTGTCCCCTCAGCAGTTTACACTACATCATTGAGGGATTAGTGAGGCTCTGCATGAAGTCACATGACCGCAACCTCCTGCTGCATGAAGTCACATGACCTCAACCTCCTGCATTCAGTCACATGACCTCCTGCTGCATTAAGTCACATGACCTCAACCTCCTGCTGCATTAAGTCACATGACCTCAACCTCCTGACATGTTTGTTTTAATGCTTTTTATTACATGTGTTTTAAACACGTTCTCGTTTACCTCGGGTAGACAAAGTCATCGTTTTATATCACTGACACAAAGCTATCCGACATGCAGGAAACACTCCATTTGACAGAGGAAAAGTGCTACATTTTATTAATGGTGTTTGGGTTATCTTCAATTGAACCAATGTAGGAGATGAATGTGAGGTTTAAAAGCAGGCATATCTTTTGAAATAATGGAATAAATATAAGAAACATTCCTGAATTTGATCATTAAAGCTCCCTTTTTCTTCAAGCTAACATTCATATCAGCTGACGGCATTACCTTAAAGATTACATTGATTGTCCCTGATGACTATAAAAGCCTCATTATTTCTATCTGTCTGGATCACTGATAAATATATATATAAAGATTTAGGAAAGGCATGCAGAGTACACATATCTTATTGTTTTCTCACTTTTTATCGAAAGTCTTAATCCTCTTTGCTCAGGGTTTAATGAAGTTTGATAAAGCTGTTATATGTGTGTGTGTGTAGAGGTTTATTGTGAAGATGATTAAACTGAGATTCTATTGACGATCACATCCACAATGGTTGCTGTTTTCCTTTCTGAATGAAATCATTTTGTTTTTACCAAGTAGATTTGTTCTTGTATTTAAGCTTCTCTTAGGGTTGGTAAACCAAAGACTGTCAGATATTCACAGTAGTGACATGAAGAGAAAACCACCTGCTTCTCTCTGTGGTTCATTTAGACTGTAGATGATTTGTCTTAAAAGCTAACAAACATCTCCTTACGTGATGGATGTATAGTTGATTCTCCGCTAACACGCACCAAGTACATTTAAGACATGGATGTTTAACTCTGCAACACTGGCTGTGAAACTATGATAATACTACTTTTTAGCATCACACAGTAAGCTAACAAAACAAGATGTGATTTGTATTCCTTGTATGTAAGGACAGCATGGGAACATGGACACCGAAATAACTACAAAAGCCTCGCTACACATGCTAACGATGTTTAGCATAGGCCTGGAGCGCTATTTAGCTTCTTGCTCACACTACTTTAAGTTGAAGCTTCACTACATGCTAACAATAAAGCATAATTGTATCATAACGTTATTATCACTTAAACGTACATTGTTGAGCTCTACGACTTTATCTTACACTAAGCTAACACTTGACTTTTGTCGAGTCATCTCAAACTAGCCTTGATGCTAAACATTTGCTAGCAATATTTTGATTAGGAGTATTCTGCTAACGCTTTAGCATAATACGCTAAGTGGTTGCTGCTTAAATGCTAACACTTTATCTTACATTGTTGAGCCATATTTAGCTCCTTCTGCTCGAGTTCTGGTTGAATAAAATGATAGCTGAGCAATAGCCAACTTCTTGCTAACTAGCATGTGGACACGTTAGCATCAAGGTTGTAGAATCCATGCTAACACTTTATTTTACACTAAGCTAACACTTGATTTGTGTCCAGTGATCTCACACGATTAGTACCCTGCTAACGCTTTAGCATCAATATAGAGTCCCTGCGTGCTAACGCTACTCTATTGAGGCACTACAAGCTAATACTTGATTTTGTCGAGTCATCTCAAACTAGCCTTGATGCTAAACATTTGGCAAAACTTAAGCCATCTTGCTAACAATATCTTGAGTACTCTGCTAACGCTATAGCACAATAAACTAAGTGGGTGGCTGAGAGAATGAACCTTCACTCAAACAAAATAAACACTACTTTCATGATGTTTTATTTTGTAGTTCATTTAGTCTTAAACTTTATGAGGGCTTCATGTCATCTGAGGGTGAACAACATATCTGAAAGGTGCTGTAAATATCTGTATAGGCCCTATATTTGTTTAAAAACTGCTGAAGTAGATGCTACTCGACTAATTTTAACAATTGTAGCCCTAACATTTGGTGAGATCTTCGCAAATCAAGGGTTAGCATTTAGCTAGCGCCACATTTTTGGATTCCATGTTCCCCCCGTTGAAGTTAGTCCTTCTACATGCAAGCTAATACAACAATAACAAACACGATAAGCTCAACCATGTCAAGTTCCTCTGGATTCTGGAGATGAGAATATGAATTGCATGTGGGGTCCCCTCTCTTCCCCCCTCCCCACCATGACACTTTATGATTTTGTGCTTTGTATTCACACTCATGTATTCAGGGTTAGCGGTGCATATTTTGGGGGCTGGGGGTGTTATTGTTGTTTTTTAGGCATTCCCATTGACTTGCATGAGGCGGAATAAAGGTTTTGAAGCTAGCACAGGTTTAAAAATGGCCGTCTAATGTCACGTTCATGCCATGTTAAATGAAAGGTAATGGATGATGGAGAGTGACTTTTCACATTGTCTTACACTGTGATCAAACTACACAATATCAAACCAATTACTCCTTTTACCAATTGATTCTTAATATTAACCATTTCTCAGCTAGTTTGGCTTCATCTACCACCATGATGGTGACTAAATGTGACTGAAGTTGATGTGAAATATGTCGTTTTGCCGCGATTGCCGAAGCGCCGCCATGTTTCTTGGACATCATCTATGAATATTTGACTGACTTATCCAAACATTATTTATTGTGGATTAAATATTGTGTAGTTAGATCCTGGCATTACTACAAATGAAAATACGTCATTGTTTGGAGGGTTGGTCGCCACCCAATTGGTTAAAAAAACATTTTTGTCGAGTCGTCTCACACTAGCGTTGATGCTAAACATTTGGGATACCTTTACCTTTGTTTCCTGCTAACAACATTCTGAGCATAATACAATTTTAAAAAGTACATGCTAGCAGGAAACCAATTTAACACTTAAAAATACACTGAAAATAACGTCTATGTTTGATACTGATATGATGTGAATGCAGCATTAGGCTATAGTGAACTTAAACAGCTTTGAGGACGTTTTATCATTCATATTTCTGACAAAAAGCTTGCATTTTAAGTTAAGGTGTGTGTGTGTATGTAGCGGGACTGATTTTGATCTGTGGACCGTGAACCAAATCTGGTCTCCAGTGCCTTGTGAAAAACATCTATGTCTGATACATATGTCTGAGTGTGAAAAAAGTCGGCAGGCAGTGTTTACAGGTTGTATTTTCATTATCCTCATATCCTTCATGTTCACTGCAATCCTCAAGATCATTATTATTCAAACTGCTATGCATTTACTGCGAGAATAAAAGATAACCTCTGATTCTGAATTAAGGCCTTTATGTTGATATTTATTTAGCCGTTCATATGTTGTAGCATTTAATCTTTATTTTCAAATCATCATTCAAATCCAGCTTGTTTTTCTAATGCATCATTTGAGGCTGAAACTCCTCGTGTTTTGTGATTTTTGTTTGCCGTGTTTCTGTTTCTAGACCTTTTTAATTTGTGGACGTTTTGGAGATTGACCATATATCACTTTTTGCTCCAAGCATCGTCACGACCTCTAACACGTCCTGCCCCGCGTTATTTTTGATAGCGTTCTGATTTTTCATTCATATAAATATATCACATTTGATGCATCGGTCTTTTTTTTTTCTTTTTTTTTGTTAGCTTGGACTTTTTGGAGGAAATATCTGAAAAGAGATAGTGGGACTGTTTTATGAAAATAGCTTAAAAAACTATTGATGTGAGAGGAGTTATGTACTGTAGCTGCAACTTGTGAATTCAGAGCACCCCTTTAAAAAATTCAATAAATTTTGATTTGAACAAGTGTGTGTTTTGTTTTCTTTGTCTTGCCATCTGTGTTTAGAAACCATTAACATCCATTAAGAAAAATCCTTGCTCGTTACTTTAAATGTATTTCAAAGTCAATTAAACTACTGTATTGCTTTTTGGGGTGGTCCCTTTCCTGTAGTGTATTCTATAGGCTGTTGTGCATGTAAATGGTCTGCAAAGGCTAAAATCCCTAAGTTCATAGTGACATCATTATGTAACACCCACACTCCTATTGGCTAGCGTTGCAACACATTGTTGTATGTGCTAAGAGGCGGGACATCTACTGATCTACACCTGAACATCAGCAGGAGAGGACTCTTTAAAGTAGAGACACTACATACTGATATACACCTGAACATCAGCAGGAGAGGACTCTTTAAAGTAGAGACACTACATATGATATACACCTGAACATCAGCAGGAGAGGACTCTTTAAAGTAGAGACACTACATACTGATCTACACCTGAACATCAGCAGGAGAGGACTCTTTAAAGTAGAGACACTACATACTGATATACACCTGAACATCAGCAGGAGAGGACTCTTTAAAGTAGAGACACTACATACTGATATACACCTGAACATCAGCAGGAGAGGACTCTTTAAAGTAGAGACACTACATACTGATATACACCTGAACATCAGCAGGAGAGGACTCTTTAAAGTAGAGACACTACATACTGATATATACCTGAACATCAGCAGGAGAGGACTCTTTAAAAGTAGAGACACTACATACTGATATACACCTGAACATCAGCAGGAGAGGACTCTTTAAGTAGAGACACTATATACTGATATACACCTGAACATCAGCGGGAGAGGACTCTTTAAAGTAGAGACACTACATACTGATATACACCTGAACATCTGCAGGAGAGAACTCTTTAAAGTAGAGACACTTCATACTGATATACACCTGAACATTAGCAGGAGAGGACTCTTTAAAGTAGAGACACTACATACTGATAACACCTGAACATCAGCAGGAGAGGACTCTTTAAAGTAGAGACACTACATACTGATATACACCTGAACATCAGCAGGAGAGGACTCTTTAAAGTAGAGACACTACATACTGATATACACCTGAACATCAGCAGGAGAGGACTCTTTAAAGTAGAGACACTACATACTGATATACACCTGAACATCAGCAGGAGAGGACTCTTTAAAGTAGAGACACTACATACTGATATACACCTGACCATCAGCAGGAGAGGACTCTTTAAAGTAGAGACACTACTACTGATATACACCTGAAACATCAGCAGGAGAGGACTCTTTAAAGTAGAGACACTACATACTGATATACACCTGAACATCAGCAGGAGAGGACTCTTTAAAGTAGAGACACTTCATACTGATATACACCTGAACATCAGCGGGAGAGGACTCTTTATTTCCTCCATCAGTAGCATCCGCTCTGTTTTGAATACAACAAGAATGACGGAGAAGCTGCAGTATGAGTGGGAACAGTTACATTAAAGCATCTTTGATCAATATATTTATATCAAACCACCAGTAGAATAATCTCCTGAATCTGCAGGTGTTTTATCTGGATGGAGTTACAGCTCAGTGTTTAACTGGTAAGACAATATATGTGAGTGTCATAACCTGAAGGTAGAGATAAGAAATCCACATTGCTGTCATGAAGGAGTTTTAATTTAATTAACAGAGAAACCGCCTGAGATCATCCGTCTGCTTTAAATAAAGAATATCTACATTTTCTTCTCACTTTGTTTTTCCTCTTTTGTATTATTTAGTGTCTGGTTATGGTGCATTAGAGGTGTTTTTGAAGATGTAATGTGAAGTCATGGCCACTGGGAGGCACTGTGGCTCAGGGCTGATATGTGGATAGAATATACTGTATACTGGCACAGGTCTAAATGTACTATTTAAATAGCCGGCTTTAAAAGAATACCATAGATTTCATTTTGAAATTACATTAAATCAACACATTTGTCTCAGAATGATAATTTAAAAAATAATTATACAAGAATATGATTAGATTTCATGATAGAATGAAAAATAAAACATCTTTAATATCAATCAAATGTAAAAAGGCAACATCCTTTTTACATTTTTCTTAATTTGAGAATGTGCGTTGTGGAAGACCTTTTTATAAAGACCTTCCAAGAGCTAAACATCTTATTATATTTAAAGGTGGCAATAGTTTAATCATTTCAGTTTCCCCACACTCTGGTTGTGTTTGGTGCTCAAAAAGTCCTGAAACTAAGATAACATGTATTTCTGAAGACTGGAGTACGTCTAAGAATAGATTAAATATTATATTGTGTCCGTTTCAGAATAAAAACCACCCATAAAACCTTTTGAAATGGACTTCCAGTAACCCAGACAAACACAGGACAATAACACGGCCCCCTCCTCTACATTTTGATATTCCCCCACCCCCTTTTTGTCCCAAAATACAGAAGCGAACCTGTTGCTCTTCAGCTCAGGAGACACAGATAGCTTATAGACAACAACACTCAGCGGGGGAAGCATTCAGGAAACACACACACACACACACACACACACACACACACACACACACACACACACACACACACACACACACACACACACTAGTAGTAGTAGATGCACCACTCCAACTGGATCTCTCTGAAAGGTTACTTTGATCGTCCATCAGCTCTCGCCTGCTCTGAGAACCTGATCCTTCCCTGCAGTACGTAATCTGTTTCGAGTGACACTGTGCATGACTTTTCCACAGCTTATAAATAACGCCTGCTCTGACTTCCAGCAGATGAGAGCAGAGCGTGAGAGAATACACACTTTGGGAGAAGTCCTCCATGGAGGTAGATGGGAAAAGTTGCCGCCAAGGGATCTTCCTGCTGCAAAACGTCCGTTAAAAGTCCGTTTACATCTTTAAAATTACTGAAAACTGGCATGGAAAACCATAGATTTATCTAACGGAAGGAACTACTAGAGGAAGTTCTCAAGAACTCTTTTTAAGGGCGTCGAACAGAGAAGGAACTAAAGAAGGTTTTGGTTTCCGAGCTGCATTTCGGCCACTCTTTGGACTTGAAGCTCGGGGTTAGTGAGGGTCTCTAAAGAATCAAATCAAGCCCAATATCACAAAACACGTTTGTCGCAGTGGGCTTCACAGATTAGAAACAAACAACAACATTGAAGCCATGGATGAATCCACAGAAGGTCGACAGGAAGTGATGGAAAGCGAGGCTCTAGTCGAGTTCAGAGCAACGTTACAAGCCGCCATCAGAGAGGTCCACGTTGACGTCAGTGCCTTCAAGCAACGCATCGAGAAGAGGATCGGAGAGCTGATTATTCCCAACGGACCTTTGGTGGAGGCGGTGAACCGGCTTCAGGAAGAGAACCAGCAACTCAGAGCCAAGATGGAGGGTCTCGGCCGGCTGGTGGAGAGCATCGCCGGGATACAGATGGAGAGGAAGGACAAGGAGGAGAGTTTAAAGAATGGACAAAGAGAAGAAAGAGCGGGAAGATCCGAGTGCAGCCAGTCGATGTGTTCGGAGGTTTCGGGGTCCAGCGGAGGGTCGAACTCTGCTTCAACTAACAACCCAGCTCCACCTCCATGGAGAGCAAAGAGACACGCTGATACTAACGTGAGTACTCCTTCGGTTCTCAGTTTCAAGGTCACCTATTGTGCAAAATCCACTTCTTCATGTCTCTTCTACATCAACATGTGTCCCCTCTTCTTCATGTCTCTTCTACATCAACATGTGTCCCCTCTTCTTCATGTCTCTTCTACATCAACATGTGTCCCCTCTTCTCCATGTCTCTTCTACATCAACATGTGTGTCCTCTTCTTCATGTCTCTTCTACATCAAAGTGTGTCCCCTCTTCTCATGTCTCTTCTACATCAACATGTGTCCCCTCTTCTTCATGTCTCTTCTACATCAACGTGTGTCCCCTCTTCTTCATGTCTCTTCTACATCAACGTGTGTCCCCTCTTCTTCATGTCTCTTCTACATCAACGTGTGTCCCCTCTTCTCCATGTCTCTTCTACATCAACATGTGTCCCTCTTCTCTTATGTCTCTTCTACATCAACGTGTGTCCCCTCTTCTTCATGTCTCTTCTACATCAATGTGTCCCTCTTCTTATGTCTCTTCTACATCAACATGTGTCCCCTCTTCTTCATGTCTCTTCTACATCAACATGTGTCCCCTCTTCTTATGTCTCTTCTACATCAACATGTGTCCCCTCTTCTTCATGTCTCTTCTACATCAACATGTGTCCCCTCTTCTTATGTCTCTTCTACATCAACATGTGTCCCCTCTTCTCATGTCTCTTCTACATCAACATGTTGTCCTCTTCTTCATGTCTCTTCTACATCAACGTGTGTCCCCTCTTCTTCATGTCTCTTCTACATCAACATGTGTCCCCTCTCCCTCATGTCTCTTCTACATCAACACGTGTCCCCTCTTCTTCATGTCTCTTCTACATCAACATGTCCCCTCTTCTTCATGTCTCTTCTACATCAACATGTGTCCCCTCTTCTTCATGTCTCTTCTACATCAACATGTGTCCCCTCTTCTTCATGTCTCTTCTACATCAACATGTGTCCCCTCTTCTTCATGTCTCTTCTACATCAACATGTGTCCCCTCTTCTTCATGTCTCTTCTACATCAACATGTGTCCCCTCTTCTTCATGTCTCTTCTCATCAACACGTGTCCCCTCTTTTCATGTCTCTCTACATCAACATGTGTCCCCTCTTCTTCATGTCTCTCTACATCAACATGTGTCCCCTCTTCTTCATGTCTCTTCTCATCAACATGTGTCCCCTCTTCTTCATGTCCTTCTTCATCAACATGTGTCCCTCTTCTTCATGTCTCTTCTACATCAACATGTGTCCCCTCTGTGGAAAGAGACTCTGAAAGTTTCAGGAACAAAGATTCTCTCTCTTTTTGATCCATTTCTATAAAAACCTGTCTGAAAATGAGCTGATCAGATTTTGGCCACTTTATGATGTGTTGTCTTGTGTAACCATCAGCCAATCAGCAACCAAGGTAACCCCCCCCCCCCCTTATCACCTGAATCTCCTCCTAGACTCCATTGAGTTCTTTGTAACCAAATGTCTCTCAGAGGGGCGTGGGGAGGGGCTCCTTATTTTCATCTAAATTAACAGACAGAGAATCAGCACTTTGGAAACAGGGCTGAAACAGAGGGGATTATGGGTAATGCTGCAATGATCTGTTTGGTGTTTCAAGCCAATCAGAGACAGGCTTGGATATATCTGAGACCTATAATATACAGTATA